CTTTGGGTCCCATCCTGGAATACGTACGGATCCAACAGCAGATAGACACGATGTCAGCGATTTGATGTGCTGCCGCCAAGTGGAAGGCTGACCACCACGCGGTCGCCTCCAGCCAGGTCCTTGACGAGCGAATAGAGCGCGACGCGGTAGACGCTCAGGTGCCATGCGTAGGACATGACCATGCCATCTTAACTGGCGCAACAAAACCAGTTTGTTGAAGGAAATACTTGCATTCCCCAAGATGCGACGTCGAACGTCATTACTGGTAACTCGATGTTGCCACCAAACACGAGCGATCCTCCTTAAGCAACCGTTATCGAATGCAGAAAGACGGCACATGTCTTCCATGGGAATCGGCCAAGATTCGCACCCATAAAACAATAGTGAGCGAACTGATGCGCTGTAAATGCGACCCTTTAGTGAGAATGAGATGTCACGACGACGCCACAAGTGCCTCAGATTGACAAATGCTGATCGAGATTTAGCGATACGAAGCGAAACTTCTTTGTTGATAGTGCCGTCAGCGGAAACATAGCTCCCAAGGTAGACGAAGCTATCTACCTGTTCAAGTTGTGCACCTTCGAGAGTGAGCACGGGAGCAGGTGAAAGCCAATCCTTGAGCAGTACTTTACACTTCGATGGGGCGAAGCTCATGCCATACTTAGATGCTTCAACCGCCTAACGATCCAGAATGAGTTGCATACCCTGGGGATCGTCACCAAGTAAGGCGATATCAACAGCGTAATCTAAGTCGGTCGCGCGCTCACTCAGTAGAAGCTCTAGGCCAAAAGGTTGGAAAAGTTTTAGAGCATTCGACAGAACGTCTTCGATTGCGAAGTTGAAGAGGAATGGGGACATAGGGCAGCCCTGTCGCACACGGCTATTGACAGCGAATTGCGAGGAAAGCTTGCTATAGACTCTCACTCTGCCGGATGTATGAAAGTAAAGTGTTCGCAAGATGGCGGTATATTTCTCTGGCACCCTTTTCTTTAGTAAGCAACGCCATAAAGTAGGTCGATCAACGGAGTCAAAAGCGACACGTATGTCTAGGAATGCAACGATAGTGGGTCTGTGATAATTGTGGCGATGTTCAAGGGGTTGGCGGAGCGTGAATATTTGATCCACGCATCAGCGGCCAGGACGGAAACCAGCTTGTTCTTCACGGTAGTATGATTCACGTATTGGGGATAGCCTGCGAAGCAGAATGGATGCCAACAGCTTAGAGGCAACCGGAATAAGACTAATCCTGCGATGATTTGCACATGAAGTGCGAGCGTCTTTCTTGAAAATTGGGACAATAACAGATTCGCTCCAGGCGGAAGGCACTTTATGTTCATGTCAGATTTTTGTGAACAGCGCGGTTAGCTGGTTAATGATCGCCACACCGCCATACTTGAATAGCTCCGGAGGAAGTCCGTCTAAGCCGGCAGCCTTGAAGCGCTTCAAGCGTCGAATCTCGAGACAGACTTCTGCTTCGCTAGGTGGATTCAATGCTACGAACCAGGGTGGACAACAAGGTGTACTGCATGTACTGGTGGATGGTGGAGGCCAGTTGAACTGCGAGTGAAAGTGCTCGGCCCAGCGGTCCATACGCCTCTGTTGGTTGGTGATCGGAGACTCATCCACCTCACAAATGACCTCACTGACACCAGGCTTTCTGAGGCCAGTGGACCGAATGAGTGGGAAAAGCCTGCGAGTGTTGCCAGAGAGGGCAGCAGTCTCCATCTCTAAGCACGCTCAGACCACCATGTCTCGCGATCCTTGCCTAGACTTTGCTTGAGCAGCCTGTTGGCAGAACGGCGCCGCTCGTTGCAATCTGATTCCGCGGGGATATCTTTGCGGCGTTCGAACAGCTCCAGTGAACGAGCAGAGATCCAAGACTTCAAAGGGCGTCGAGTTAGACCGCAGCATGACTGTCCGGAAATGGTTATTGCCTTCCGTATACAAGTAAAGTGTTGTTCCACCTCTTGCGGTGGATTGCAACTGAGTGCGTATGCCAGTGAAGACTGATAGCTCTCCTGAACAGAGGAATCAGTTAATCTGTTTACATCAATCTTGCGGTGCTTCGTGTTTCGGGATCCTCCAAAACACACCGATTTTCGCGCAGAGCAGAGCATGATCTGAGTCAAGGAAAGTGGACCAAAAGGACCTGCAGTCCAGTACGCTGCCGCGCCATCTGAAGCTAATCGCAATGTGATCAATTTGAGATCACGGTTGTGTTGGCGAATGGGGGATGCCACGTTGCACAACGCTTCTTCGTACGCCTGCAATTAGTGCTCGAAAGAAACAGACGGTTGTCCTCGCACAATGTGAGAAGTCTCTCCGTTATCAGAGTGGTTCTCATCGAGCGCGTGATGACCACCAAGGTTGCGTTCGTATGGTAAGAGGCGGCCAACCCGTGCTTTAAAATCCCCAGCAAAGATAACGACATCCGACCATTTAGCATCAGTCAAGAGCTGATGTAGATCTCGGTAGAATTCGTCCTTGACCGGGTCGCTACTGCAGTCATTTGGAGCGTACACAGAGATCACAAACAAGTTGCGTCTCTCTTTGCGGTGCCTGTTGATTCTACATGAACCCCGAAGCCGAACTGCACATAGTCGGCTGTTAATCGTGAACCAGTCCAGTAGTGCCGTCTCGGCCTTGCCACTCAGTGCTATACCTACACCGGCCAAACCCGCTGAGGCTGCTTCTGGATCTGCAGAAAGACGCAGGTGATATCTGGCTTCGTGGTCAGTGGGGGATTTCAATGTAAGCACAGTGCTGGAATCTTGCAATCGGGTTTCTGAAAGGCAGCAGACATCAACGTTTAGGGAATCTGGGGTGCGCGCTAGACCGGCTTGCTGTCCATTCTGCATGAGTGTCCGAACGTTGAAGCACGCCAGACGGAACGAGGATCGGGGATGAAGGAGAGCCATAGGTAGAGCTCCTTGATCTGCGAAGCAACCGGAATCGCAGCCAGATTGTTGAACAGATGAATCGGCTAACCGACACTGAGGATTGTTAGCTAACAAACAATTGGCGTGTGATGAAGTCGCGTGAAAGTGAGTAGCAGAACAGTAGCTGATGAGCGCGTTGTAGTACAGTCCATGGTTTTGTGAGAGGGCGTGATACTACCCGGTTGCCCAAGCCGAAATAGGGAATGGACTTAGGGGATTTCACCCCCGAGCCTTTGGCTAAATAACCTACCCGCAAGGCAGCGTGGCGAATTTAGGGAATCGCGCCCATTGGGAGGCGTTGACTGAATGATCAGCTCATGCGTCTTTGTTTGGTAGATGACCAAACAGGAGCCCAATACTCCCCATGAAGTCAGCACAATTGCTGGAATGCAATGCCCCACGGAGGTGGAACATTGTCGCCAAACACTTAGCTGGAACGAGGTACACCCGAACCACCCAGCTGGCACCACGAGGAGGTAGTTCGGCAAGCCAGCCATCCATTAGGGATTCATCGTAGCTCATATAACCTCTGTTCATCCCCACAACGCTTCTAAATGTTGCGCCCAAGTTCTGCTTTTCATTAATATTTTATCAGCTCTTTCGATTCTGTGAGACTGTTGATATCGCTTCTGAACATCAAACTGTCATTTTTCCATTTCTTGTCCTTCAGTGCTTGGTGCATGTTACTACACACGTAGCCATTATTAACTAGCGTGAACCTTCTTTACTGCTGACCGATTGGTTGCGTTTCGGTCGCCTTTATCTCCTACCTCTCTTCTGATGCACCTGTTATTGTACTGAAAGTTTCCTCTGGTCATCCGTCGTCCTTTCATATTGTCGAGTTTGAGACAGAATTATGTGCACTATTATTGCTGTTTATTTGGCCCACACGTTTGCGTACTTTGGAATTTTAGGAGTTCATTCGAAAGTGTTGTACCTACCGAAAAGATCTGCGCCCCGATGTCTTTCAACTCTGCAACGATGACTACCTGAAACCCAAAGCTCAACTCAAGTGAGTTTTCAGACTCTTCTTCGGACACCCCTCCGTGTGTGGCGTAACGATATACATGGCAGTTTTTCCTAGTTATCTTTCTATTGTGTGTTCACTGTCGGTCTAGTCAAGAATGTGCATTTTGCACCTATGAAGGGTGGATATGCGGACATATGTTTTGTACAATTGAAAACAGGATTCCTGTGATGATCCAGGTCCTGGAATCAAACGAACCGGCGCACTGTGTTTTTCTTTGTTTTTATTTTCATCTGACCAACTGCGATACGCTGTGATTCACTCAGTTTATATGACCATGGTCGCCATGGCTATCATTCTGCGCATCCAGCTATAGGTGTTTTATTGCGAACAAACAAAAGTGGATTTGAAAACAATCGTCACAAACGTTTAGTTAAATTCCTCTACTTTGATCCCTGCGGCGGATTCAGCTTTCATAACTCTAGTTGTCAAACTAATAATAAAAAATTTACGACGTGATAAGAAGGGATGCTTGCGAGTTGTAAATTAGAGGACGGCTGCATGATGCCACTAACCTCTTGACCGTGACATACCTGATGAGGTATCCGATCATTCATGTGGTCCATCTCGAGGACTTTACCTAAGAAAGTGCCAAGAATCAACTCGACCTTGTCTATCAGTGAGTACTTTCATGTCCTTTTACCATACCGCTTACTTATCATCCCGGGTTTTGCGAAACAATGCACTTTGAGATAGCCCAATTGCAGGCCTACGAAACACTTAATGTGGCCAACGAAGACCGATTCGAGTTCATAATGGTTTATAAAGGCTGTGGTTTTCTCTTTTAGTAAACATGGGATAAAAATTCGTGCAAAAGAAGAGCATCGGAAGCGAAAAATAATACTGGCAACAGTGATTTGTCTCAGTTCCCCATTCTGAATGGATGTTCTCTTCAGCAATGCTCGCTCACATGCAGCCTCGTAAGACAGGAAAATTCTCGTCTCTTTTTCAATCGTCGCAGCCTACTCATCTGCGACCACGACCAACTACAGCTGGGTCTGATAAGCTTTCACCTTCTGACCAGATGTTATCTAACTTGAAGCTTGTGGTGGTTTGTCATTGAGCACTGGCAGTGTTCTTCCACCTCCAGAGGCAACCCACTGCGTTCATTCTTTACACCAATCGAGCTAAACTCATGACTTGCCAGCTGTCGCCTAGTGGTTATATTGTGTAGAAAGTGGAGGCCGTCGACTTTTCCCCCACTTTCGAAGAATCGAATGCTGAGACTGAGTTGATCTAACTCCTAATCATTGGTATGTTCAGTATGAGTAGCTCGGAATTCACTGTGAAAGTTTTGTCCGGGGTAGCTCACTGGATCATTGGGGTAGGCAGACAATCGCATCGCATTCAGCCACAGTCCCATGGCAGTGATTAGCAGTTAACAATTCCGATTGAGAGCCTAGGGTGCGCAGGTAAATGCGCACTGACTTCATAACTATACCATGTCTCATATGGGTCCTTGCTATTTATGTGTCCACTTCTAATACCTCTACTACCTCCAAGTGTTCTTCTACATCTTGTTCTCTTTTCTAATCATTTGTCATGCTCATATATGCACCATTATAAATCACAGTTTTATTTTCACCTTCAGACATAATGTGGACATGTCCGCCGTACCCGGTCCCGTGGGTTTACCTCCCACCCCGTGCTTGATGCCTCCGTTCCCTTCTGCTGGCAACCTGGTTCAGTCCACCCCTCACCTGTTGTCTCCTCCGATGCAACAGCCCATATCCCCTTTTCCCTCCTCAACCAATCCACAGCAACAATTTTGACTGCTAACTCAAGAGAGGTACTCGGTGTTGTAATGAGGAGACAACTGCGAGTATGTGCACATCGGAGCCTTAGTGACCACTGCATTCCTTGACCATGAAAATTGGCTCCGATTTCTTGGGTATGTGCGCCAGCCAAGTGACTAAATGAAACACGTGTTGCTTAAGGGTTCAACATCAACTGTGGGAAAGTTGAGCGACACCGTGAAACCAATGCCACACGTACATTTGCGCAATCTCTACCCAGTCTGTGAAGTTGGTTAAGAAGAAGACGGAGATACAACATATGATGATCCGTTTCATGCCATACCTCAAGTTCATTTCACCTATTCCCTTTCTCAAGATGCTAGGCACATATTCCCATACTCGCTTCTCTATCTCGGCCAGTTGTTAATCACGGCTATTGTCGTGTGCTCTCTTCTTTTTTCCTCTCTCGTGACGAAAAACTGCTCCCTATGGTCATCAAACGTACGGACTCTTCGCGATATCTTTGTTTGTCTTTCTACTACTTGCTCTTCATACCCCTTCTTGGATGCCCACAGTGTAGATCGATTTCGATGTTTTCAATGCAATATTATGAACAAAGTACTACTGATATTACTAATGAGTAGGAGGATTCTTGATTGTATTTTTGCCGGTTCCTCCCAGTTGCTCACAAACCAGATTAGTCCACGATCCGAAAAAGCACCAAGCGATCGTTTCGCTTTATTTGGGGCTCGTCAGCGGTGCGCATTCTCTCGATTTCCTGCTAAGGATCGAACCCATGGCCGCTAGCAGCTTACACCAACTAACCAGCTGCTTATGCCTCTGAGGCGTGGGGGACGGAGGCAGACCGTCTGAAATTGCAAGCTAGCCGGGATATAGCGTAACATATCCTTCACTGCCATGCAACTTCCTACTATAGCACAGAACAATGGCTGTCCTCCGTGGTTACGACTTCCACTACACAGTAGCTGTTTGCATTACATTTGAAGACTGTGTGGGCGAATGTTTAGATTACTGATAATATCCTTTTTCTGCCCTTCGGCAACGCGGCTATCATTATGTTATATCCTCAGGAATACTCTTCTGGACACACAGCCCTTTCCTTAACTTGATCAGGTTTTTCTCCTATTGGACTTTCACAGTCTACGAAGTTTAACGCATATCTCTATCCTTTCCACGTTGCTCATCTTTCTTTGTAGTCTTCAAGGGCGCGCCAATCTTGTCGGCTATATTATTGGCCATCTCATCAAAATTGGTTACTTCTGCCATTCACATAATGAGCTGTCTTGTTTTGTTGTGGGAGAAGATCACGTACCTTCACTTAACTAATCGGCAGCACTCGGAGCTTGATAATGCAAACGCTTTGTGCGTCCCCTTTTTCACTGCATCGTTTTCTATGATGTGTTTCTGCGTTCTAAGCTCGCAATGCCATATTAGTTGGTACTGACTAACCGGGCAGTTGTGCTGGGCCAAAAGCGGGTACTACTGTGCCAAGAGTCAGTAGTATGAAACTACCATGAGAACCGGACAGTAACAGGCCAACAACGAACTAAACCAGTGCCCCAACGGAAAAGGAACGTTTTGGAACAGCAGTTATATCCGCAGTAGGAATAGACGCAAAATCAGCGGACGCCATGTAGCATGCACTAGACAGTGGAATAATTGGTAGTCAGAGCTGATGTGTATAATTGATGATATTTACCACATCTAGGGTGCTTACAAGTCTGCCGCGTGATTTCCTTGAATAGGAATTCATTGGTAATATTTGTGGGCAACCTCTGCATCCCAGGTATGGTTATCTCCCTCAAAGAATGTACACAAGGGAGAAATCGATTGTGGAGTAGAGTTTCGAGATGGAGCAATAGCTAGTATTCACACAACTCTCAGTAGTCAAATCAGTCAGTGCTGTATTCAAAGTAATTCCCAGTTCTACTTGAAAGCGCCTAGAGTGATTCACGTGAAGCAGTATTACTCCAAATACGTAACCTTGACGTTCGGTAACAGCTAATTTAACTCAGAATATGGACTGCTTTGCGCACATGCGGTGCAGTTAGTCCCATACGCAACGAGACAGTGCAAGATTCACGCGACTCGGCAGTTGAAAGTGTCATCTCGTGATTCAACCTCCGTACGCAGAATAGTTTCCTGCTTCTGATATCTAAGAATAATAGCGAGACATAGAACATATATGGATGGTGGCCTCTTGCAGCCACCTTCGGTGAATCGATCATAGTGTCTGTTTCGAAATGTCCGTCTCTAAGTCTGTACTTAGCACCAGTGATGAAAAACCTCTTGGTCTCTGTTTATTCGAATTGGAATCCAGAAGGAGAAAATGAAGCAGGCAGTTTTTATTTGGCACCATGGCGGTGTACCAGTTATGCAAATGAGCTCTCAGCTCACTCTACCACTCCTCTTTGTTCCATCTAGTTGGTATGGCATTTTGTACGATGAAACTTACAGAGACTTCTTGCCGTCTCTGTTTCAATCGCGTGCAAGTAATTGGAGAGTTGGCCTCACTTGGTCACGACCAATTACCTAGGTATGTTAACCGAGACCTAGTGGTTTAAGTCATTGAAACCATTGTGGTGTCCAGTTAAAACGACCGATGTCGGTAGGACAACAGTTATTTATAATAAGAATACGATGAAAAGGGGGTTAGAAGGAAATGAAATTATTCAGCATATTCGGTACTGCCGACTAGATTCAGGAAATAGAATACAAGGATGCCAATGAGTGCACATTGCTCGACCATGTCCTCAGCTACCAACGTTCTCCCATCCACGAGAACGACACGTCCCCGTATAACCGAGGTCTTTCGGCCAACTTTTACATACATCGATTTGTTACTTTGAATTTTCGTCCAACTAGGTGTGATGGTGACCTAATGCACGCCGAGAAGTGCAGCCAACGGGCACACAGTGGACAGAATTAAGCCAACCTGAGCGATTAGGCTGTACTAAACGCTAGTGAGACACCAGATGGTTCCTTGCCAAACACCAGCTGACGTGTTGCTCACCCAGTGTATACACCAAATGTGAGCAATACTCTGTATTTTTTGTCTGCGTTATGCGAACGCTGTGCTGTCTATCTACGAGTTCATTCTCATAGTGGGCATTTGTCACTTATCATTGAATATGGCTTCATTTCTGACCCTTCTTTCGCGTTGCATCCAACTACGAACTGTAATTACTTGCTGACGCTGTACTGTGCCTGCCTCGCTCTACCATGAATTTGACTATCGAATGTCCCATCACTGAATCAAGGGGATCTTGCCATCGAGGGTGCATTTTACTTCGAGCTTTGTCTGTGAATCTTCCTCCACTTGTAGTATTAATCGAGCTTTCTGCCATCCCGCAATCGACAACCTTGCTGTTTTTTTTACTTTGGGTTAGTATTTTCACACAACTAATCAGGAAGCGAAGAACTGCCTTGGCGCGAATGAATTAAAAGCATATCCACCACATTCGATTCGTACAAGTGTTCCTCATTTTCTCTTCCTTATGATGTACTTGATGTCAGGCTTACACTCTATTCGAGCGCGGCTACCGTTGCTGTACTGCTTTATGAACCGTCACTTGTTTGTTGAACGTTTTCCCAGTTTGTTTTGTCTCCCGTCTTCACCAGGTAATTCCCAGAATCCGAATGAACAATTGACCACGATACAATTCTTCAATCGCTAACGAACTTATTTATACTGTAAAACTAGCTGTGTTGACCTGCGATTGGTACTGATTATTTTTTGCCTGTTGCCGCTTAGTCAGATGACTGCCGTTATTGGCATGAAATTATTCCAACTAACCCGATTTCCCCTCAATCTCAATCCGCTCATGGTAATCTTTTGCCATTGACTTAAGCCATGCGATTAATGGATTTACCGGCTTCATATTTACTCGCCTTTCCGTTTACCTGTGGGTCATTGGCTTTTGCAGCAATTCAGCCACCGTTACAGTCTTTGTGCATAGAAAACTCTCGGGCATTCATTGGTCACAATTTGTACAGGTCTATTTCACACAGACGCATTCAATGCGCTCACTCATTGTGTGACTCTCGTCGTTTCCCCTCTTGCTCCATTTTCGTTTACTTTGTGCGGTTTAAACACTGCACAGCCGCTGCGCGCCAAACCACCATATTGTTGGACATTTGCAGTGTCCTATAAGTATGATCATGATATTATTAAGGGGCTCAAACGATCAGTGCTTCAGAATCCTTAACTTGCGATTTGATATGTGACCGATTGCCGCGGGACATATTTTACACATTGGTCGGCTGTAGTCTTAGGGACCAGAAGCTTGCCTTGTAATCCGAAAGCGCAGGTTCGAGCCTTCGTATGGACTGGGTGACCCTCGAAGTATGCTTGATTGCGCAGCAGTGAAACGTAGATACCGCGTACCGGCGTACTGCTGATGCCTGTCTACACATGTGCTCTCCAGCAGCTTTTACTAGATTATTGCGTTTCACTTCATACAAAGTCATGCGCCAGCATTATCAGTCCTGCGATCAATCTCTTTCGGGTTCCCTTCTATGTCCTTGTCCAACCAGTCTGTGGCTTCATTCAAACAGCTTACTCGTGAAACGGAACATACAGATGTGAATAGTTCATCCGTAGATCAACGCGAGTGCTGCAGCTTTTCATTAAGGTCAAGGTGCTCCGATAATTACGAACGATTTATAGACACAAATAGTTGTCCTTCATATGAATACAAACAGTATCGGTGAAACAACTTCCTTGTGGTAGCTATCTCCGTCGTTCACAATCAACACTGGCCCACAAATGTCGCCAACAATAGTTTGTCTCCTCCAAATTCACTCATCATTACGATTATGAAAGTTCACTACTTGCCCGCGTCTACCAGTCGCGCGCGGGTCGAGTATACCGCAAGGACGCCCAACCCTACAGATTCAAACCGGTGATTTTATGATTGCGAACCAGGCGCGCAGACCACTCGTCTACTGGCCGACAAAACGGCCAACGGTTAGGATGCACTTTGGCGGCGCAAAGCATGGACTCGTTAAGTCTGCGAACAAGTCAGTGAAGTCTCCTTCGCGTTGGTGCTCGAACCAAATACCCAGTCATACGCATAGGCGTCGTATGAGCCGCGACATGGAAAATTTTTTGGGAGTCGAGCTACCAAGGGGGCGGAAAACGTCGAGCCAGGCTGAGTCTATGTGTCAGCCAGGAAGCCAGACCAGCAGACATCAAACGTAATTGGCATACGGGGGCGGAGGCTTACAGCCAAAATGTCAATGTGACGCCACACACACGACTTTTAAATATGACCACGAATAATAATCCTAATGAACTCTTCTCAGCCAAGCTGCCTCTTCTACTTTTCCCTGGCTGGGTTGAACGCGGCACTAGGCAGTGAGCCATGGCACAATGTCTGTTAACAGACTGTGAATATATATATATATATATATATATATATATATATATATATATATATATATATGACAGGGAGCCTTCATGACAATATGAAGCACGCTTCAACTTGAACTGCGAATTATTTTTAATTTAGCGCAGCTCATTTTGATTAGTAGAATTACGTCCAAAGTGGATAACTTCTACGCATTTTTCGCCCCCTTAAAGCTACTGCGAGACGTCTA